GGGTGGTGAAACACTGGAACAGGTTGCCCAGAGAGGTGGCGGATGCCCCATCCCTGGAAACATTCAAGGTCAGGTTGGACGGGGCTCTGAGCAACGTGATCTAGTTGAAGATGTCCCTGCCAATGGCAGGGGGGTTGGACTAGATGACTTTTAGAGGTCCCTTCCAACCCAAACTATTCTATGATTCTATAGTTCTATGATTCTATGAAACAGCTATACCTTGGCTGGCACTCAAGTACTTTTGGTTTACTTCTGCATATGAAATGATGAGCCAGTTGGTACCGAACTTAGCAGTCCTGTAAGCACAGGACTAGGTGGAGCCCAGCTTGGTACTCTCCAAGTTGGGCCACCTTCTCTCTCCTTTGGCTTCTGTTGTTTATATTTTGTCCCTCCCCTCCTCAAGCAAATGTCAGAACTCAAAGGATTCTTTCTATGAATGAATCTGTGCATGCTATGTGAAACTTTGTTGAAGCCAGTGAGTCACTGTGAAGAAATAAGAACCCATCCACGCAGGAACATGTCTTTAGCCATCAAAGCGAATGTGGCTACAGCAGGTCAGAGGTTTCCTTCTGAGGCTCCAGCACTGTAACTCGTTCACACCAATGTGTCTTGTTAATACTAAAATGCACAAAACTGTTACACAGTGGATGGAATTTCTTGCAAGTGTAAGTGAAAAATAAATTGAGGTTTGTATCAGATTTTTGTGAAATGTGTGCACACTTTTTATGAGTGGTTGCACAGGTTAAAGTACTACATACATTAGTCTAAGAACACAGCTAATTACTTGTTCTGTAATATTGTGTAGCACATAATTTCACACATAATTCAGGAGTACAGGTTTTTAAGCATTTTCCCTCAGTTGGAAATTCTTTCAACACTTCCAATACAATATGGACCCTTAAGTAGCTCCCAATCTTTTCTCCACAAATAAATTTGATACAGAATTTGTAAAGCTGCTTGCACTGTGGCAAGGATCAGTTTAAAAAAAATTAAAGGAGCAAACTACTCTTCAAGCTGCTTGGTTGGTACTGTCAGGACATCTGTTCGACGTAAAACTACATTTTTATAGGCAATAGAAGATAGTTTGACCCATTTAGCCTGTTACATAGCAAATATATAAGGTCAATTCTGTTTAATTTCCTTATTTGGCAAACTTGTACTAATTGCAAGAAGTTGATTTATCCAGGACTGAGATGCACATTTGTTTCAATGTGAATTGGTTAGGTTCCTGAGTGAGGCTGTATCCTACCTGCAACTGAAGTAATGACAACTTCTATTACAGTTGTCAGTATAGCTGATGTTTTCCATTCTTTGTTCTCTTGACTACTTGTTTCCTTGAGGCTGATTTACTCACGCTAACTATTAAGTTGACAATTTGTTTTAAAGAAACACCATTTCTTTGTCTTGAGAGAGAAGGGGGATGCCCTTAAATAAATAACAACACTTCAGTAGAAAAAGAAAGCAGGGACCTAAGAAGGACTAAAGGGTAGGTTCAAAGAAACACACAGAAAATTCAGACAATTAAACATCAGAATATTGAAGGTTGCTCTAGAAGTGTTGTAGAAGACTGGTATTATCCTCCCTTAGGATAAAAGGTAGGAGAAAAGAGCAACTTACAATATTCATGCAGCTGATGTCAAACAAAGTCTAACTTGTTTCGTACGAGTCGCACAGAGGCTTGTTAATTGCTTGTTA